GGGGCTGGGGATGTGGCTCAAGCAGTAGTAAGGTCGCCTGGCGTGCGTGTGGCCCGGGTTCAATCCTGAGCACCACATACAAACAAAGATGTTGTGTCCGCCGAGAACTAAAAAATAAATAGTAAAATTCTCTCTCTCTCACTCAATCTCTGTCTAAAAAGAATAAATAAATAAATAAATAAATAAATAAATAAATAAATAAATTTCCCTTCAGGAAACTGAAGGGACCACCAACAGAGGTCAGATTCAGGAAGGGCCACATATTTGTCTGTTGGGAAAGAGTGGAGGACTGTACAAGGAGAGCCTTGCACGTGCTAGGCGACCACTCTACCACTGAGCCACAACCCCAGCCCCTGAATTTTAGATTCTTAATATGGCTTTACTCTGCATAAAGATTAAAGGACACAGGACCAGCCTTCCCCACACCTTTTCTGTACATGGGCTAAGTTTGAGATTTAGACAATGCAAGCTTAGGATTCATCCATAAAATAGCAGTAAGATATGAATCAGTCACGACTGTCCTGTGTGTCTCTAGGTTTCTCATGTATAAAATGATGGGGCTGGACAACAGGCTGCTCTTTGATCCCAGTTTGGTTCAACAACTATAAAGAAGTTAAGTGCAAAGCACTAAGGGATTACTTAAATGAACAAGGCTGGTTTCCTATACTAGGAAAGCTTCCTATTAGTGCCTGGAATAAAATGAAAAGTTTCTTAGCCCTACTGTGTAGCATGCACAGTGCAAATCACTTTCAGCTCACAATCCTCAGCAACCTTTTGAGACCAGTGTTCTCTTATATGATGAGGAAAATAACTGGCCTTTCAGGGAGTGGCAGGCATGGTTCGACCCCAGCTCTGCCAGCCACCAAAGTCCAAGTGTTTATCGTCCACTCTGCCTGCTTCAGATACTTGCAGAATGTGGTAAGTGCCACAAGTAGAGGTGCCAACAAGGTGCTCTGGGAACATGTTGTCTTCATGTTTACAATGGCTTCTTTCCCTAGCCAGGACTCTGTCAGCCTTGGCAGTTGGGACTGAGCTCACTCAGGGTGTCAGTCCCCACAGGACTCCCTGCCAACCACCCATCATTGTGACTCTCTGAATGTATTCTTTAGTTTTCTTCCAGGAATGTCAGCCCACTTGTAACAATAACAATCATCCTTTCAACATGGTCACACTGCTTCTTCGTTTAAAAAGCAATTTCACATCCATTATCTCATTTAATCACTTCCTCCTCTACATTCCTACAGCATTTTCTTTGTATATCTTTAGTATAACATTCTGTCTTCTGTAACAGGCCCATTTCCCTTTATTGGATTCATCTTAGCTCACAAGACCCATCATATAATTCAAGTATCTCTGCACCTTGCACACTTCTATGAACAAAGTAAAAATTCACCATACTGCATCCTCACAGTGTTGGGGTCTGTCTCAGTGCTGCTTCCTTCATTACTTTGATTCAATGCACATCTGAATCATTTGGTTGCCTAAAGAGGGCAAAGGTGAGGGACTCTGTAGCTCAGTGGTAGAGTGCTTGCCTAGCATGTGTGAGGCACTAGGTTCAATTCTCAGCACTGCATATAAATAAAGAAAATAATAAAGGTCCATTGACAACTAAAAAATATTTTAAAAAATAGGGCAAAGATGAGCCCTTTGGGGGGAAGTAAGGTAAGAATTGTAAAACTGGAGGAAGATGGGTGAAGGCTTCTGACCCTTTATAGATCACAGTATATGCTACAGCACAAATGCTATTTGCAGTTTGGGGGGACAGATTAATTTTACATGGAGGTGGGTGGGAAGCAGGAATGCTTGCAAGGGCCCTTCCCAGCAGAAGGAAACTGAAGGGTCCAACATGGGTCAGATTCAGGAAGGGCCACATATTTGTCTCTTGGGAAAGAGTTGGAGGACTGCACAAGGAGAAAAAAGAAGAAAGCAAAAAAGCAAAAAAAAAAAAAAAAAAAAAAAAAGCTTCAGAAAAAAAAAAAAAAAAAAAAAAAAAAAGTCTAACTAGTGACTCAGGCCTGTAATCCCAATTATTGGGAAAACTCAAGACAGGAGGATCACAAGTTCAAGGCTAGCCTGGGCAACTTTGAGACCAGGGGAAGAGTGCTTGCCTAGCATGCCTGAGGTCCTGGGTACCATCCTCCTTAAAAAAACAACCCTCTCAAACAAAACAAATCAAAACTGGGGGAAGGGCTATTTGGGCAGCTTTTCCAAAAAGGAGGAATAACTCCCCATAATATTCTAGGGGAGAGGAATCAGACGGTGGCAGTTCTCAGGAAAAAGAGCTCCCTTCCCACAACACTCAAAAAAAGTGCAAGGAGTACAACTCCCTGGCATTTCTTTAATAAAGACTGGAGGGGGCACCAATCTCCTACAGTCCTTTTCTGGGGAAAGGCAAGGTGCTTGAAGCTTAAAATGTTTCCTCTGGGGGGTGGGTGCGAACACTTTATCTTCAGAGATGATGGCTGGAGTGGGCCCGCAGCATCACCCACTTTTCTTCAGCGGTGGGACAGAGCAGTGGCCTCCAACAGTGCTCAAAGAGGCAGAGGTGGCTCCCCAGACGTCGTCGGGAAAGGCAGTGGGCCTCAAATTCCTGTAATTAAGAGGGCGGGAATCCTGAGCCCCCAGGTTTCAGAAACGAGATTCGGGAGTCCTAAATCTACAAAGTCATCCTTAGCCTGGAAACTTTCTTCAGAAAAGCGAGCAGAGCAGGAATCCCCAAAACTCTTTTAGAAAAGGGCCAGGGGAGAGATTTGTGATGATTCTCCTCGGAACGGGGGCCAGGGAAAAGAATCCTGCGATTCTCCTCAGAACGAGGCCAAAGGCAAGAATCTCCAACATTCTCCTCAGAACAAGGTCGAAGCCGCAACTCCAGAGAGAAAAGAGCGCAGGGGCAAAGAAGCCCCGCAGGGACAAGGCCCAGCCACGACTCGCCCAGAGACTCCTCAGAGGCGCCTCCCGCGGCCCCGCCCGCTGCCCGGCGCAACAGCCCCACGCCCGCCCGGCCCTGGCCACCTCCGGTGCATTGTGGGTGGGGCGCCCCTGCTGAGCACTGCGGGGAACCCCCTGCCCAGCCAGTTGCCGGCCGCCGGGCGGCCCAGGCAAACCACCCTCCGGGGTCCCAGCGAGCCGGCCACGAATTGACGCGTCCCCCAGGCCCCACCCCTCATGGCATTCCCGCCCCGAAGTTGAAGTCCTGCCTTCGAAGGACCCTGAGTGGCCCGGTAGCCCGCTCCACTCTCCCATTGGCAGGTTTTCTGTCAGTCATTATGTCCCACCCACTAGGGCCCGCCCCAGCCACCGGCGCGATCCCGAGGGCCAGCCGGCCCACGCGCTCATTGGTCGCAGCGTGCTGTCCGTCGTGAGACTGGCCACACCCTCCGTGGGGTGCGGATCCTAGGAGCTCCGGCCAGACCTCATTGGCCTGCGGCGCCGCCACTCGGCTAGACGCGCCTCAACCCGGAAGTGTGAGAGGCGAAATCTGCCTAGCAACCGGGGAAGCCGGGCTGTGAAGCGGGCAATTTCAGTGTGAGACCGAGCGGCGAGACCGAGCGGCGGCTCCGAGCGCGGTGCGGCAGCTCCTCCCGCCCGAGGTCAGCGCCCCGGCGCGCGCACGCGCACCCCGCTGCCCAAACGCGCCCCGCGCCGCCCGCGCAGTCGGTGGGTCGGTCGTCGGTCGTCCTGTCGTTGCCGTCGCCGCCGTAGGCGCCACCTGAGGGAGCCGCAGCCTTGGGACGTGACTGGACCCGACCCGACCACGCTGCCCGTGGCCGTCCCGGGTTCCAGCCGCCCTCGACAGGGACGTCGAGGAACTTCGGTGAGTGCGGGGCTGGCGCCGCTGGTGGGGGTCCGTGGCTTCCGGTGCCCGGGGTTCCTGTGGGGCTTCCGCTTCTCCCCGGCACCTCGTTCGCCGAGTGGACCCGGTTCTCTGAGGGTCCCTTGCCTTTCTGAGGTGTGTCCCATTCTCCTGGGGACTCCTGCGTCTCTAGGGGACCTCTACCTTTCTTTAGGACCCATGCCTCTGAGGGAAACAGCATCTTTTCTAAAGTCCCGTCCACTTTTCCGAGGGTCCACCTTCCCTCAGGACCCCGGTCTGTTTGAGGACCCCCTTCTCCAAGCCTCTGAGGGGAGCCCCATCTGAGGGACACTCCACCTTTTTGAGGGACTGCTTGGTTCTCTGAAGGGCCTCCACCCCTTTTTCTGAGGGTCTCTGGCCTCTCTCAGACCCTCTCCCCACTTCTTTAAGGAGACCCTTGCTATTATGGGAAGTCATTGTCTGAGGGGCCTCGAAAGTAAAGGGGTCCCTAGGTATCTCCTGCTTCCATGATGGGGGCCTCCTTCTCTAAGGAGACGTTCCTTCTCTCTGAGGGGACCCTCCTTCTTTGGGGATGCCCACCTCTCTAAGGACATCACCCTGCCTCTATAGGGAACCCCCACATTCTCTGAGGAGGGCCCTGCTTCTCTGAGCTATTGTTCCACTTTTTTGATGAGTCCCCTTCGTCCCCTACCTTTCTGAGATACTTTCCCTGCTTTTCTGGCCCCACTTCTTTGAGCAACTTTCTTCTCCCAAGTTTCCTATTAGGACTGTTCCTGCTTTCTTCAGAGTCCTTTTTGGAGGTGTTCCCCAGAAAGGAGTTATCACCAATTTGATGAAACCCTTATGTTTTCTGATGAGTTCCTTCACTTCCTGGTGTGTGTGGGGTACTATGAGATGTCCATACTTCTGACTGGATCCTTATTTCTCTGAGGTATACCCCAAACTTTCAAAGAATTTCTCTTTCTTTTGAGCTGTCTACTAATCTGTGCATGCTGCAATTTTCTGAGGGATTCTGAAGATTCTTCCCCTCATATGAGATGTCCCACTCTTATGGGTGCTGCCCATCTCTGAAATATGCCTCCACTTTTCCAAGATACTCTATTGTTTTTTTTTTTTTAAATTCACTTTTTAGTTGTAGGTGGACACAGTATCTTTATTTTATTTTTATGTGGTACTGAGGATGGAACCCAGTGCCTCATATGCGCTAGGTGAGCGCTCTACCACTGAGCCACAACCCCAGCCCCTCCAAGATACTTTATCTTGCGGGGAGACACTGTGGATCATTTCATTTCTCTGAGAGGTTCCCTTGCATTTGAAGGGTTCCATTCTCACTTGCCTAAAGGTATCCCCCCCTTTCTTGAGCCTTATTTCCTGATTCTCTAAGGAGAAACTCTCCCTTCATTTATCCTTGGAGTCCCCAACTTCAAGTTTCCCCTGTTTCTATTTGTGGCACCATTTCTTTATTGTGGAGGGAGAGACCAGAAATGTTCCTCCACCTCCTTTTCATTCTTTCTTCTAGGCAGGGGGTTTTCTCTGGACTTTTATCTCACCTTTCATTGGCCTGGAGGATTTTGTGACTGGAGGGGAAGTTGGAAGACTTAGAGGCAAAAAACAAAAAACACCCCTTTGTTTTCTCTTGTCCTTCTTAAGACCTGCAAGACTTGGGAGTTGGGGATTGTTGCTAGATGACCACCTTGGTTACTTCATTTTCCAGCCCTGGGGCTACCACAGGCCAGTGTAAGGCCAGTCTGGAGGCCAAAGGGACAGAGTGGAGACATTGTCTCTCCATTATCACATTGTCAAGCTGTGGAACCGACCTACTTCCTGTCCTGTCCCTCAGTACTCCCTTTGCATAATGTAACTCACCTTCCCCCGCCCTCCTGCCCCCTACAAAAAAAGGAGAAGAAAATTCTCCTTTGGGTCTTTCTGCTGCATTTTCTCTCCCTGAGCCTTCTGATTTACCCCTTGATCAATAAAAGATCTGTTGTGCCCCTGGTTTGAAAGGCAGGGCAAGAGGCAGGAAATGGGTCACATTAGATCCAGAAAGAGTGAAAGAGAGGCAGGGGACAGAATTTGATTACATTGCCATAAGTTTTAGGTAACTTCAGCCTGGCCCAAAGGAAGTTTTTACGTGGCTATTGCAAATGTCTATGTATTTTTTTAATGGCCCACCCTGGATTCCAGGTTCACTCCAGTAGCTAATTTTATCTGCTTTGCCAAATGCAGAGTTCTCAGGAGCCCAAGTAGATGAATGCTGGCATTGAGAGATTGTCCAAAGGACAGGAATGAACTCAGTTTGAAACCTGAGTAACTTGTAACTACTTCATGTCCACATACAAATCTCAAACTAAAAACATGGGGAGAGCTTGACTGAAGTGGAGTTCTGAAATATAGGCTGAACTCCAGTTTGGTTTAGCATGTCAACAGGTTCTTCCTTCTGACTTTGCTAGAACTGCAGTTCACTTTACAGTTTAACTTAAGGCGGTCTCTCTCCTGTTCTTTTCCATCTGGGTCTTACTTAATTTGAGTCCTTTGTGAAGACTCCTACCGAGGCTATAATTTGAGTTCTAAATCTGTCGGTGGACCATGTGGACACAAGTTTCAACTCGAGCTATTTTCTTCTGTGGAGAGGCAGTTGGAGAGTTTCCTGGGCCCTTTGCTCCTGGGATAGTCAAGTCCAGGCAGGATGCTGCTACAGACCTTTTACTCTTCTACTGCCTCTTCCTGGTCAGCTGTAGGCACTGCCCTGAGGTGAAGAGGAAAGATGGTGGGGACCTTGGGCTTAGACTGTCCTGAGATGAGTGCAGAGATGTGAAATGAAAACCATAGGAGGGGCTGGGTTTGTGGCTCAGTGGTAGAGTGCTTGTCTAGCATGTTTGAGGCACTGGGTTTGATTCTCAGCAGCGCATATAAATAAATAAAACAAAGGTCCATTGACAACTGAAAACAAAAACAAAACAAACAGGACTGTGGGATAGAGTGATAAAAAGGGAACCTGGTGTCTTTGAAGTCAGAAGGACTGCCTTAGTCTGGTTTTTTTTTTTTTGTTACTGTAATGAAATACCTGAGGTAGGCTACATTGTAAAGAAAAGAGGTTTATTTTGGCTCATTTTGGAGGTGCAAAGGCTCATATCTTGTGATAGTTTTCTTCTGGTAGAGTCCCAAGATGTGTCAAGAAACTGGGATCATTCCATGCATGTGTGTTTGTGGCTTTTCTCTCTCTCTCTCTCTCTCTCTCTCTCTCTCTCTCTCTTTAAAGTCCTCAGTAGTTAATCATGGGGACTCCACTCTAACTCTAATCACTTTTCAAAGGTCCTACTTCTAAACATAATAGTTGGATTAAATTCCCATCCTAATTTAAGCCCCATTGTGTACATCACAATGGGGCTTAAATTTTAACATACGTCAAGCCTTGGGAGGATGCTCAAACCATATCCAAACCATAGCAAGGTAGTCCTTTCTTGAGACTTCCCTCCTCATTATCTGAGGGAGAAAGTCTTCCCTCATTTATCCTTGGAGTCCCCAACTTTAGGGTTCTCCTGTTTCTGTTTGTAGCACCCACTTCTCTCTCCCTATTGTGAAGGGAAAGATTAGGTTCTGGTTGTGCCCTTCCTGGTTGTGTGGCTTTGGACAGGTTATGGCATAAAATTGACACGTTTGTAAATATTTGAGGGAAAACATGCTATGAGTTGTGTGAGGGCACCTATTGCTGTGAGATGCTTCTTAGATGAATGAGTGAATCTGAAATAATGAACTGGAAGCACCTAGCACAGCTCCCCATATATGATTGACATGTAATAAGCATTGGTTATATTGCACATGATATTAGGGTCCTGGTCTGGACTCCCCTACCAGGAGGTGATTGACATTCTGCCAAAGCTAAATGTCCCTGAAAAAAGCTTGATTAATCTGTTGGAAAACCCATTGCCCCATGAGTCTCTTTGTAAAAGTTTTTCTGTATTCATCTCACCAGATGTGAGATAAATTTGCTATGTGGGCTATTTGTATTTGCCTTGTCTTTGGCATCTCCCTCTGTCAAATGGGTGTAATTTGAGAGTTAAGGGCAAGTAGGGAGATGTATTACTCTAATTAGACCATAGGCAAAATAGAAGATTATAAGAACTGAAGAATTGTGGGAAGAAAAAAACAGGTGAACATAAACTTAAAGAATCTTATCCATATTTTGAGACTGCTTGATTGAGAGATATGCAGGAGTTACCTGGTGAGTGATCTGTTCTTACACTTTAGAGCTTTGAAAGATGAACTGTTCTTTCATGGTAACAGATCAGATTTGGGAATAAAAGACTGGGAAAGCGGTGTACAAAGGCATTTGACGCCACACAATAATAGTACTTGGAGAGGGCCAGTGTATGGCTTAGTGCCCTCAAGAAGATCAGAATTCATTCCTTCACTGCTAGAACTAGGGTCTATTAGAGCTGTAGTGATAATGACAGCTCTTTTGGGTTTGGGGGGTAAAGGCAATACTGGGGTTGGAGGGGAATTGCAGTGGATTGGGAACAAGGTGATCAGGACACTCAATCTAGCTAGCTAGCTAGTTAGCTATTTTTAAGAGGGCTTTTGCTTAGCAATTAGTGAAAGCCCTAGAATCATGGCTGGTGGACTGGGCCTAGCCTTCTTCACTTCTTAGTATGGGGACAGATGGAACTCTGACTCTGCCCCTGATGGATAAAACCTAGGGGGAAATAATGGGTAAAAATCTGAACTAGGCCCCTAGTGGGCTGTTCCCAAGTTTGAAAAAAAAAAAAAGGTTTTGTTCTTGGAATTATTAACCCCCTCCCAACATACAAAATGACTTTGTTATTGAAGCAAAGGAAAATTTACTAAACTTAAATATGTGTGAATTCTTTTTTTTTCCTTTTTGAACTGGGGATCAAACCCCAGGGCCTTAACTTCAATTCTTTTAGGGATACATATTCCACTATTGAGAAAGAAGCAAAGTTTATTATTTAAAAAATTTAAAAAATAAGGTAACAACTTTA